GAAAATCCTAGTTTGTATCAAGCGGCCATAATAAAACAATGCTGATTATTCACATACAAGCAAATTGATGCATTCATTATTTGTTATTCTACACGTAAATGCTGACAATTTTTGTTTTAAATGGCACAACTATATACAGATATCATGTCCAATTTTTTTCAAATACACTGGGATAATACTTTTTCTATAAATAGCTTGCAAAATTAGAAAAAAAGCCAATATCGCAGATGGAATTTCTACCATTGCATTTACTTTAACTGAATTGCAAAAGTAAATTGATGATTACTCAGTTACCATTCATGCCACAGGCTTGATCTAGGTATCATTGGAAAGCTAATAACCTTATCTTTAACAATATTGCATTTAGAAAGTATTTAGATAACATAATTTTTTCAAATGGGCAAAACACAGTATAAATACCCAAAAAATCTACTTGCATTCAGTAATTTGACTGTCCTGTTGATTTATTATGCCAACATTTCTTATCCAGAGCAGTCTTACTTTTATTTCACAAGAACTCTTATTCTTTGCAATGCATAAAACTGCATTTCATTGCTATAACATAATGTCTTTTTGTATTTTAAGTACAGTATCTGTAAATCCTTCAAGATAGGAATTTCCAAACAATGACCAGATAATGTTTTCAGTTCAAGGTCCCATGCAAAGACATATATTCAGTCTGTGTCTTCTATCTTCTATTTTTTGTCTTAGACCCCACTTGAAATAAATTTCCTTTCCTCTCAATTCAAATAAAAATTAAATTTAATAAACAGCCTTTAATAAGGCATAAATCTTTCTCAACACAAACAACTGGACACGATGCTTGTTTGTACAATGCACAACAGAGGGATCCGGTCACCTTCCATGTCCTGTCACGCTGAAGATTTTTTTTCCAATATATGGAGGTAGTCGTCATCTAAAATAATTGATCAAAGGTTTTCACACGTAAAAACATTGAGCAGTTTCACAAAGCATTATGTTGTGAGAGTAAGAAATGTCCCAATCTATAAAATACTAAATTTTCTAAAATTAATTTTGATATATTCATACAATATTTTAATAAGATAATTTCCCTTTTTTTAATTTTAAGAATTATGCTAAAATTATAAGTTTCTTAAATATTTCTTGATATACAGCAGTAAGGCCTAAATTATTGCCAATGAGAGCTGAATATGTAGGCCTACCATTACTACCTATTCAACTGATAATTTCTTCAAGCAATTCACACTCATTCCAGCTTGTGTTGGGGCTGGCCATTCCCGAGTTCTGCTTGTGGTCTAAAATGGTAAACAACACTGTCAAAATATATTGCCTTGAATAAATGAATTAAGTGTTTGCAATTTTAAACAATGAATAAATTATAGCATCAGTTACTTCCTGTCAAATACGATGTCTTTTATTATCGCTCTACTAAAAAAGTCGTAGGCCTATAATTCACGATCGTGTGCAGTAGAAAATTAATTATCTTCAAAAATATGAGGCCCTAAGTCCTTAAATTAAATCAGTACAATTTTTAGATCATATATAACACTAGTATAACAGAAACGTGTCACAATTTTTTAATATGGACACACTAGGAAAGCTCTGAAGTCCATTGTTTGCCTGAGGCCTCGTCCGTAATACGAACCAAATTCACTCAATTTTCTTTACCCCAAAACCACATGCATATTGACGTCGTTTGGACATATCTTATATATTTCGTCAAGAAATGCCAAAAGCAATGTGACTGTGACTAGATTAGGGGGTTTCTTACCTTTCATTGTCCCTAAATTAGACAAGTAGACACAAATTTTATGATAAAAACGACAGAGGAGCTTTCGACACGCTCTTCGTGGGCGCAGCCATGTTGTTGACGACACACGGGTTGATATCTTTGATCGCCTGGAGAATTTGCACCCGTGGATTTGTAATTTAGTTTCGAATATCATTAAAATCTACAGAATTTGCACTTTATTTTGATATATAGTTTGTGGGGGGTAAATAATTTGCATTATATAAATATTTTAGTTTTTCTTTCGACAAATCTTTAAAACTTACCTTTTATTGTCGACTTTTATCATTTTTCCTTGGTGGATATTTTCGAATGTTAGTTCGTTGGCTAGCTCTTCTTTTCAGCTTTCGGATGACAACAAAAACATGCGTGTGCAAGTAATAGCGGAAAATCCCCGAGACGTTTTCTAATGCCTTGTCGAGGAGCGCATTTGCACCTAAGCCGCTGCTGTGCTGTCAGCAGCTGTACAATTCAGCTAAACTGCGCGCAACATGTTATTTACATCTCTTATAAGACTACGTTTTTTAATGTCAAACCTAGCTTTGTTCTATATGATTTGAAAGAGCAACACCTGACCTTTAATATGGTATAAAAATATAGGGGGTTACTGTTAAATTTGATACTGAAATTAAACCTTGAAAATGACCTTTTTGGCCCTTTCAAGCAGGTTTTTCTATGCGTTATATGCTTGCTGCCGGTACCTACTATCATAATTCTGCAAAGTATGATGTTTAAGTTGAGAAAAGATTGAAATTTGTTTATAAGATCCTTAAAAAGATCAGTTACTAGTAGCATGCTAATAGATCTGGACAGTTACCTGTTAATTACATGTACTAAGTTGATTTGATGTGTATAGCTCTGCCTGTTCTGTGACTTACCTTACATTAAGACTTCGCAGTGGTAATTATTATGTATATACTTTTTTTCATATGGACTTAAATTTTGTACACAAATGGTCTTACATTGCTGAATATAAGCCTGGACTGTATCGATCTTGGTGGAATTTTTTCTAGACAAAAACGGCAACACTCCCCTTCATCACGCCCTCAAGAACGACCAGACCAATTTTGCCACCTTGATGGTCCAGTTTGGTGCTGACCCCAATGTCCGGAACGACCTGGAGGAGACCCCCGTCCACTTGGCGTGTCAGTGCGGTGACCTGAAGCTGGTCCATGTCCTCAGACAGTGCGGAGGTGACATCACAGCAAAGGATGCGGAGATGAGAACATGTTTGCACCATGCAGCACGTGGTGGACATGTGTAAGAACTTTGAAAAATAATGTTAAAGTTGACCTGAAGGTGGTGTCTTTGGAATAGATTGCTATTAAAATAATGTCTTTGTAAGTAGCAGAAATATAAGTAGGGCCCCATTCAGAATAGGGGACTAACTAGTCCTAGGGTCAAATATGGCCAATTGCTTTAATACTTTCCCACAGGATATCTATTCAGTGTCTATTACAGTGATTGCGAAAGCCGTCGGACCACGGCCATATGCCGGCAAAAGTTCTGTGGGCTGGAAAACCCTTTTAACTCATCGGCCCACATGTCCGACGGACTAAAGTCAGTTTCTTTAACAGACACCTCGCTTCATATTTGAATTTATCGTAAAGCTCTAAGTGCGCACTATTCGCAAGTAAAACTTTAACTTGCGCCTTACTGGCGCGTTTTGAAATAAAGGTCTACGTACATTATGATGTCGCTTGAAGTGTGCGTAGCGATGGTGTGAGGGCTGACATGTGACCCGTTTCACAAAAAAAAATGTATCGAAACTGAAACAACTAAAAACGTACTGCTCAAGACTCTGAAAACAGGCCGCTCAAACTGCTTACGACTGGCCACGCGCGGACCTCTGAGAACACCTAACTACACGTGCTGGATAAACAAGTATGGCTTCCGTCGGACTGCATGTTGAGTAAACGATAAGTGAAA